ATCTGTTTTGTTAACCACTCTGAAGGTGAGACAAAACTTTGATAGTTTATCTGTCGCTACGTAGCTGTGGTTTGGTTACAGTAAACATACATTCGTCTAAAATTAATTTTCTTATTGGCCTATTCATTTTGACTAACCCTGTATTTTGGAGTGCCTATATTTGCAAGATGCCATTGGCCTTCCTTCTGCAAGTTTGACTTGTGTGGATCTGATCAATATTTTCTCTCTTGGAATTGTGGGAGTTGTAGTCCAAAACACTTGGATCTAGATCAGTGGTTCTCAACCTTCCGAATGCCGTGACCTCTTAATACAGTTCCTCATGCGATGGTGACCCCCAACCATAAAATTATTTTCGTTGCTACTTCATTACTGCCATTTTCTCCTGTTATGAATTGTCATGTAAATATCTGATATGCAGGATGTATTTTCATTCACTGGAATAAATTTGGCACAAATATCCGATATGCCCAAATTTGAATATTGGTGGGGTTGGAGGGGGGAGGTTGATTTTGTCATTTGGGAGCTGTAGTTGCTGGGATTTATAGCTCACCTGCAATCAAAGAGTATTCTGAACTCCACTCATGATGGAATTGAACCAGCCTTGGCACACAGAACTCCCATGATCAACAAAAAATTCTGGAAGGGTTTGATGGGTATTGACCTTGAGTTTGGGAGTTGTAGTTCACCTATATCCAGAGAGCACTGTGGACTCAAACGATAATGGATCTGGATCGAAATTGGCATGAATACTCAATATGCCCAAATGTGAACACTGGTGGAGTTTGGGGAAAATAGACCTTGACACTTGGGAGTTGTAGTTGCTGGGGTGTATAGTTCACCTACAATCAAAGAGCATTCTGAAACCCACCAACGATAGAATTGGGCCAAACTTGGCACATGGAACTCTCACAACCAACAGAAAATTCTGGAAGGGTTTGATGGGCATTGATCTTGAGTTTTGGAGTTGTAGTTCACCTACATCCAGAGAGCACTGTGGACTCAAACGATAATGGATGTGGATCGAAATTTGCACGAATACTCAATATGTCCAAATGTGGACATTGGTGGAGTTTGGGGAAAATAGACCTTGACACTTGGGAGTTGTGCTTGCTGGGATTTATAGTTCACCTACAATCAAAGAGCATTCTGAATTCGACCAATGATAGACTTGGGCCAAACTTCTCACATGGAAACCCCATCACCAACAGAACATACTGCATTTTCTGATGGTCTTTGGTGACCCCTCTGACATCCCTCTCACGGCCCCTCCAGGGGTGCCAACCCCCAGGTTGAGATACGGTGATCTAGATCAAGCATGGGCCAACTTGGGCCTTCCCTCCAGGTGTTTTGGACTTCACCTCCCACCATTCCTCACAGCCTCAGGCCCTTTCGTTTTCCCCCTTTCCAGAGGATGCCCCTCTCTGGCCGCGAGGGGCCGCCCTTTCCACCCCTTCCCTCTCTTCCTATCTTGAGGAATAAGGAGAAGTGAGCACTGAACCAGAATGGAGAAGAGACCCAGAATGGTAGGATGCCATGGTAAGGCCTGGGCTCTCACTCTGTGCATGAGCAAGGCACGTCTCAAAAATCTCAAAACTAAACATTAAAAATAGATACAAATGGAATTATTGCATATACTGTATATACATGTGTGTGTGTAGGTAAAGGTTTTCCCCTGACATTAAGTCTAGTTGTGTCCGACTCTGGGACTCTGGTGCTCATCTCCATTTCTAAGCCAAAGAGCCGGCATTGTTCCTAGACACTTCCAAGGTCATGTGGCCACTGGCAGGACTGCATGGAGCACCCTTATCTACCTTTCCACCAAAGCGGTAATAATAATAATAATAATAATAATAATAATAATAATAATAATAATAATACTTTATTTATACCCCGCCGCTACCATCTCCCCAAGGGACTCGGTGTGGCTTACATGAGGCCGAGCCCAGAATACAACAATACAAGCAATAACAATACAAGCAATTTAAAATAACAAAACAATAAAACAATAACACGTGCATTATCAATAGGACAACACACTTTAAAATCTATGGGTAGGCCAAAAGTAATTAAAATTAAAAGATTAAAAAATAATGCTGGACATGGGCGAAAAAGTGATAGCGCAGTTCGTGGGAACATACGAGTAGAGCTAAATGTTAGGCCTGGGTAACAACGGAAAAATTTGTTTCTAAAATCGATTTGTATTTGGGGGTTTTTTTTGTTTCGATATTTAAAATAATTATAAAATTTTCCTTTTAAAAAGTTCGATATTTACGAAATTTCGTAAATGGTAAAAAATTAACGAATCGATTTCCGAAACAATAACGAATCGATTCGTTAATGGCGGACGCGACCGCGAAATACGCTAAAAAACCTCCAAAACCTTCTGAAGCTTCCCTCTCCCTCTGTTGTTGACTGTTGGTGTGATATTATAATTTTTTTTCACTAATTAAACCATAAAACTGGCCCAGACATGCGGAAATAATAACGAAACGACCTCTAAACAATAACGAAACGAATACAATATCGAAATACGAAGCATTTACAAAACGTTTTTGAAAATTCGTTTTTTAATAATTGCTCCAGAATGGTTCGTTATCGTTTTGTAATTGAAAAAATTAACGAATTATTAACGAATTACGAATTAACGAAACGAAACCGCCCAGCCCTAGTAAATGCAGAGTAAAAAAGCCACAGAAAAACACAGTAGTCAATAGGATCTCGCACTGGAACAACCACGTCTTCAAGCTCCTCTTAAAGACTGCCAAAGTTGGGGCCTATTGATCTATTCACACTTGCATGTTTTCAAACTACTAGGTTGGCAGAAGCTGGGGCTAACAGCAGAAGCTTGCCCCGCACCCCAGATTTGAACTGCCAACAAGTTCAGGAGCTCAGCGCCTGGGCTCCCCTCTAATTGCATTATTCTGTTTTTAAGGAAGAGTTAGCCATGCTAGCAATCTTTGTTCTAATAGGTCGAGGTTTCAGGTTTCCATTCTGCCACACCATTCAGCCCTTCCTTATTCACCTTTTTCTCAGGAAATTGCAGTTTACCCCCCCTCCCTCACCCCCGTCCCCAAGCCTGCACTGTACCTTAACATTGTCCAGCACCACCAGTGGTCCATTCACTCCGCAGACGGTCCAGTAAGCTGTGGGAAGAAGGAAAGCAGGGTCAACCTTTCCTATAGACACAATCCCTTGCAAGGATGCCTCCTTGCAAGGCTTTGGCCACATCATGAGAAGGCAGTAAAGCTTAGCAAAGACAATGTTGCTGGGGAAAATGGAAGGAAAAAGGAAGAGGGGACGACCAAGGGCAAGGTGGGTGCACGGCATCATTGAGGTGACTGGCTTGACCCTGAAGGAGCTGGGGGTGGATACGGCCAACAGGGAGCTCGGGCCTGAGCTGGAAGAGTCGGAAGTGACCAAACGAATAAACAACAACAAAAGCTGGGCTCTGGGAATGCTGCTGGAGGAGAGGCCACGGGCAGGATACACTGAGCACCAACCACAGCATCACAGCACAAGGTGTGCACCTATGCAGCGCAGAGTCCAGGAAAGTCCCTGGGATCCCTCCCTTTGGCCCAAGCCTTGGAGAAGAGGCCTGGCCCAGGTTCCAGCAGGCACCATGGTGGGCCTCCAAGTCCCATTGCCAGAAGGGACTCCCCCCAAGATGCCAGGAAACATTGGGAAACCACAACTCCCAGGATCCCTTAGCATTGAGCCAAGAGAGTTAAAGGGCTGTCAAACTGTGCTCATTCTGCAGTGTAGATTTTGATTTGGTTTGTCATCTGAACTTTTACTTTGTTTTGCAAATCTGTTTGTTTTATTTTGTGATCTGGACTTTTTCGGCTTGCAATTTTCTCTTTTTTGTTTTGCAATTTTCACTTTTTTGTTTTGCGATTTTCACTTTTTTGCTTTGTTTTGCAAATTCCACCCTTTTGTTTTGTGATCTGGACCTTTTTTGGCTTGCAATTTCCACTTTTTTGCTTCCTTTTGCAAATTCCACCCTTTTGTTTTGTGATCTGGACCTTTTTTGGCTTGCAATTTCCACTTTTTTGCTTCCTTTTGCAAATTCCACCCTTTTGTTTTGTTTTGTGATCTGGACTTTTTTGGCTTGCAATTTCCACTTTTTTGTTTTGCAATTTTCACTTTTTTTGCTTCGTTTCCCAAATTCCACCTTTTTGTTTTGTTTTGTGATCTGGAGTTTTTTGGCTTGCAATTTTCACTTTTTTGTTTTGCAATTTTCACTTTTTTTGCTTCGTTTCCCAAATTCCACCCTTTTGTTTTGTTTTGTGATCTGGACTTTTTTGGCTTGCAATTTCCACTTTTTTGTTTTGCAATTTTCACTTTTTTTGCTTCGTTTCCCAAATTCCACCTTTTTGTTTTGTTTTGTGATCTGGAGTTTTTCGGCTTGCAATTTTCACTTTTTTGTTTTGCAATTTTCACTTTTTTTGCTTCATTTTGCAAATTCCACCCTTTTGTTTTGTTTTGTGATCTGGAGTTTTTCGGCTTGCAATTTTCACTTTTTTGTTTTGTAATTTTCACTTATTTTTTTTTTTTGCTTCGTTTTGCAAATTCCACCCTTTTGCTCTGGTTGTGATCTGGACTTTTTTTGGCTTGCAGTTTCCACTTTTTTGTTTTTGTTTTGCAATTTCCACTTTTTTATTTTGTGACCTGGACTTTTTTTTTTTGTTTTGCCACCTCCACCTTTATTCTGTTTTGTGATTCCCACTGTTTTGTTTTGCAATTCCCACTTTTATTTTGTTTTGCAATTTCTACCTTTTTGTTTTGTGATCTGGACCTTTTTGTTTTTGTTTTGCCATCTCCACCTTTATTCTGTTTTGTGATTCCCACTGTTTTGCTTTGTTTTGCGATTCCCACTTTTATTTTGTTTTGCAATTTTTACCTTTTGGTTTTGTGATCTGGGCTTCTTTTTTTTGTTTCTCCAGCTCCACTTTTACTTTGTTTTGCGGTTCCCACTTTTTTGTTTTGTTCTGCCCTCTCCACTTACTTCTTTGGCCGTGCCCCTCGGCTGCCTTGCCTTGCCTTGTCCTGCTTCCCTCTCTTGGGAAGGCCAGCCTGCCTTGCTATTGCCCCCTCCCCAGATCCCCCCCCCCCCCGTCCTGGTCCATCACCCGCATTGAGCCTGACAGGTCCAGCCACCATTGCTGTAAGGGTCATAGCCCCGAGGGAGGGCCCCCCACATCTGGGCAGAGCGGGCCCCGCTGGACCCCTGCTGCTCCTGAGGCCGCAAAGGCCACTGCCCAGCGGAGGAGAGGGACAAGGGCCGAGGGAGGGGCAGGGCCTCCGAAGGACAGGCTGCCCGGCCGGGGTCTCCTCCTCTCTCTCTCTCTCTCTCTCTCTCTCTCTCTCCTCCGCTTGCCCTAAATACCCAAGAAGAGGCCTTGGGCTCCCTGGGGCTCCTTCCTTCCTTCCTTCCTTCCTTCCTTATTTTGGGAAAAAAGGAGCATCAGCAGCATCAGCGCCTTCCTTCCTTCCTTCCTTCCTTCCTTCCTTCCTTCCTTCCTTCCTTCCTTCCTTCCTTCCTTCCTTTGCTTTCCTGTCCAAACACCCTTTTGTTCTCTCTCCTTTCTCCAACTGAGAAATGTGTGTGTGAGACATGGCAGGCATTAAACAAGTGCAAGAAATGCAAAGCCAGCAAGAAAGGCATGGAAGGAGGAAAGGGTCAACAACCACAACGCAAAGGGGTTTCCAGTCTTCCTTTTGAGGTTGATGTGCCTGCCCTGAATCCCCTGCGTGTGGCCTGTGTGTGTCCTCAGTGACACAACCTCCAAGGCTTGGAGAAGTTCCTGGGGTTCCTTCTGCAAAAAGGAGGAGCACCCCCTCTTTCTGATTTAGGTTTGGCTCTTCTTTTACATTTGAGGTTTATTGATTTATTGACAATGCATGAGAAATCATTGAATCCTAGAGTTGGAATAGACCTAGTGGGCCATCATCCAGTCCAGCCCCATCCTGCCAAGAAGAGGACAATCACGTTTAAAGCACCCCCATCCAGGCTCTGTTTAAAAGCTTCCATAGAAGGAGCCTCCATGACACTCCGGGGCAGAGAGTTCCACTGCTGAACAGCCCTCACAGTCAAGAAGTTCTTCCTCATGTTGAGTTGGGATAGACCTGGTGGGCCATCATCCAGTCCAACCCCATTCTGCCAAGAAGCAGGACAATCACATTTAAAACACCCCCAACAGATGGACATCCAGCCTCTGTTTCAAAGCCTCCATAGAAGGAGCCTCCACCACACTCTGGGGCAGAGAGTTCCACTGCTGAACAGCCCTCACAGTCAAGAAGTTCTTCCTCATGTTGAGTTGGGATAGACCTGGTGGGCCATCATCCAGTCCAACCCCATTCTGCCAAGAAGCAGGACAATCACATTTAAAACACCCCCAACAGATGGACATCCAGCCTCTGTTTCAAAGCCTCCATAGAAGGAGCCTCCACCACACTCTGGGGCAGAGAGTTCCACTGCTGAACAGCCCTCACAGTCAAGAAGTTCTTCCTCATGTTGAGTTGGGATAGACCTGGTGGGCCATCATCCAGTCCAACCCCATTCTGCCAAGAAGCAGGACAATCACAAAGCACCCCTGACAGATGGCCATCCAGCCCTGTTTAAAAGCTTCCAAAAGGAGCCTCCACCACACTCTGGTGCAGAGAGTTCCACTGCTGAACAGCTCTCACAGTCAGGAAGTTCTTCCTCATGTTCAGCTTAGAGTTGGAAGAGACCTCGTGGCCATCCAGTCCAACCCCATTCTGCCAAGAAGCAGGAAAATTGCATTCAAAGCACCCCAACAGATGGCCATCAAGCCTCCATAGAAGGAGCCTCCACCACACTCCGGGGCAGAGAGTTCCACTGCTGAACAGCCCTCACAGTCAAGAAGTTCTTCCTCATGTTGAGTTGGGATAGACCTGGTGGGCCATCATCCAGTCCAACCCCATTCTGCCAAGAAGCAGGACAATCACATTTAAAACACCCCCAACAGATGGACATCCAGCCTCTGTTTCAAAGCCTCCATAGAAGGAGCCTCCACCACACTCTGGGGCAGAGAGTTCCACTGCTGAACAGCCCTCACAGTCAAGAAGTTCTTCCTCATGTTGAGTTGGGATAGACCTGGTGGGCCATCATCCAGTCCAACCCCATTCTGCCAAGAAGCAGGACAATCACATTTAAAACACCCCCAACAGATGGACATCCAGCCTCTGTTTCAAAGCCTCCATAGAAGGAGCCTCCACCACACTCCGGTGCAGAGAGTTCCACTGCTGGAACTCTCTGCCCCGGAATGTGGTGGAGGCTCCTTCTTTGGAAGCTTTTAAACAGAGGCTGTATGGCCATCTGTCAGGGGTGCTTTGAATGCAATATTCCTGCTTCTTGGCAGAATGGGGTTGGACTGGATGGCCCACAAGGGCTCTTCCAACTCTTGGTTTCTAGGATTCTATGAAGCCATGGCTCCACATCCTAGTTTCCAGGGCAGCAAAGGGAAGCCTGCTCCCAGAATGAAAGAAAAGCAACAAAACAAGAAACATCTGCCTGGTTTTTTAAATATTCTTTGTCCCATGAAGAAGAAGACGCCAATGCATCCTGGAAACTTGCCCAATTTGTGTTTTTGTGCCTTGTGGGATGTATCCACGTGCAGAATGAATGAAGTTGGGCATTGGGAGCGAAATATGGAAGATCTACAAAGATGCAAGACCTTCAAAATGCCCCTGTTCTATATCCACTCTTGTGCCCTTCCCTGTTCCTCATATATGCAAATTATATTGGGGGGAATGGCACCTGCTCATCACTGGTGCAATTCCACCTGTTCATCCGCACTGGTGCAAATGGCCAAATGTGCAACTAACCTGGGAGTGCACCCCGGTCCACACAACACACACACCTCTCACAAGTTTTGCCCAAAATTATGTCGGCTTCATTGCCACCGCTGAAGCAGCAGAGTGCCTGGGTGAAAGGTTAGCTTTGCGCGTCTGGAAATGTCATTGAGGCCGTAATAATCCCTGGACGGAGGCCAAACAGGGGGAGGAAAGGCGGCCCTCGTCCTCCGCATCCCCCTCTGTGTTCTCCGCCATTCATGTCTTGCCTAAAGATGCTAAAGTTTTGGGAAGGGGTGTTAACCAATGGTGTGTCTCCACCAGGCAT